AACCAATCCACTGTTGGCTAACAGAGGATACAAGTACAAACGTGTAATCCTTTGTCTAAACGAGGCCGAAGATTTTGACGCAAAATATCGCGCAACCGGAAACCAACAATGATGTTGCAACCAAACAATATGTGGATGAGCGTTTCGTAAAATTGGAGGCTGATAGTATAAACAACATTGCGCGTAAACACTACGTATAGGATAATGCTCTTTGTCTGACTGCTGATCGTAAGTTTTTTGACTCAAAAGGAATCAAAATACGACATGTATCATGGCCGGAAGCTATAAGTGACGTTGCACACAAAAATTATGTGGATGAGAATGTTAAACAGTGGAAAGAGCAGTTCGCAAAGTATGTGGCGGAGAACATTGAAACGTTGAAATATCCTTTGTCCTAAGCTCGAGTACAGGTCGGGGTAGTGCGCAGACGACAACTGTCGAAGCCCGAGTAAACTCGACTGCTGTCGGCTTATTCTCGGGTTTCGACGTTCCAAATGTTTCATAGAACATCTATTCCCCTTCTTCTGGACATCAAAATTGTCCAGGATCTCATTAATAAATCATTTTTAAGGCCAAGGCTTCAAAGTGTTAAGAAAGAAGTTAAGGAGATGTTAAGAAAGCTAAAGGAGTGAAGCAATGGGAAACGATGAAATACTAATTTCATCCTTTCCCATTGCTTTCCCCTCCTTCAGCTTTCTTAACATCTCCTTAACTTCTTCTCTCCCAATCTTCAGCTTCTTATCCTCCCATCTTTTTCCCTCTTTCCCTTTAACCATTCTGCCCTTTGCTTCTCTTAGTAACCTTATAAAGTAATCCTGCCATTCCTTCATCTTTACGAGGTCTGTTCAAAAAGTATCGCGAATTTTGTGTTTTTTCAAAAATTATTTATTTATTCATGAATATCTATTTTGTCTCCTTCAAAGTAATCCCCATCAGATATTATACACTTGTGCCAACGTTTTTTCCAAACCTCGAAGCACTTCAAAAAATCATTTTTTGTGATCTTGTTCAGCTCCTCCTTCGATGCCGTCTTTATCTCCTCAATCGTAGCGTAGCGTCGCCCTTTCATGTGCCTCTTCTGTTTCGGGAACAAGAAAAAGTCACAGGGGGCCAGGTCTGGGGAATACGGTGGCTGCGGCATCATTAGTGTGTTGTTTTTGGCCAAAAATTCGCGCATAAGCAACGATGTGTGAGCAGGGGCGTTGGTACGAATTTCGTGGCGACCCGTCTCATGCCCAAATCATTAGTAAAAGTCGAATGGCACGAGCCAATTGATATGTTTAAGTCCTCAGCAACTTCTCTAACGGTGAGTCTACGATTGGCCAATACTATTTTCTTCACTTCATCAATGTTTTCGTCTGTTGTTGACGTGCTTGGGCGTCCGGCACGCTCTTCGTCGTTTCATCTTCTCGGCCCTCTGAGAACATTTTGTACCACCGATAAACGTTGCTTCGGTCCAAGGTAGCTTCACTATATGCCACAGTCAACATTCGGAATGCGTTCGCGCACTTAATTTTGTTTTTCACACAAAATTTGATACAGATTCTTTGATCCATTTTTTGGAATAGGTAAAAATCGAAGACGAGCCAAAACACGTCCAAGCAAAACAGCTGTCAAAGATAAACTGAATATTCAAAATGGCCGAACTTGTCGGCATAAGTGACATGAGTACCAACATAACGCCACAAAAAAATTGAAAATCGTATATACGTAACCCGCGGAAATTCAAAATTTGCGATACTTTTTGAACAGACCTCGTATATGAATAGCGTTTTACGTTTTTGTTTTACCGCTATGCTATTTAATGCAGTGAGTAACACTAATTCCTACACAAATTTTCATATGGATGATTCAAAGAATGATTTGTATAAATTGTGATACACATTGTGAAACACATTTAAACAATAGATTTTTGTTACAGGTACTACCAGCCAGGTACTACCAGCCACTCTCTTAGAAGGTTTCCTAGTCAGCATGTATTCATTCGGTGCGGTAATGGAATTCTACATGCTGTGCTTTTGCGTGCAACAATTAGAAGATGCAGTAAGCTTTAATATTCTGTCTTATCTCCTTAGAGAAGATTTCCTTTGTCAAACGTTATCATCTTTACTGTAAATTTTGGATTAATTTGTCAATATATCACTACATATAATATATGTATTATAAATACTTAATAATTATTTTCCTATGTGAAGAAAATATTACACTAACAATTATTACAAAATTTTACAATGTTGGATATTACTAGAATTATGACTGAAATTATGATGTGTGTTGTAATTCATAATGATATATATCATGTGCATACATCACTAGAAACTAAAGATTACAACACACATAATAATTTCGATAATAATTCTGATATAAGCCAGCGTTACAAATTTTTGTAGTAATTTTTATTATAATATGTTCTCCGTAATAGGAAAATAATTGTTAAGTAACTACAGTTTATTCTATACATATATTTTATTATATTGCTATGCTTGATTTAGTACATATATTTTATTATATTGCTATGCTTGATTTAGAGTACAGACGTTACGAACGAAACCTTCAATGAAAAATGGTATCAGTTTGGGCCGTCTGTAAAACGTATATTTATGTTGATGATGCTAGGTAGTACTTTAAGTTGCAAACTTTCGACATGTGATAAGTTCAACCTATCATTACCTTTATTTATGACGGTAAGAATTTACTTTACATATATCAGTATTTAAAATTTGTCTTATGAAATATTTCAACTTCCAGATCTTAAACCAATCATATTCCATTGCGCTTGTGCTCTTGTGAATGTAAAACGTATGACGATATGATAATCTCGTAGATCATTTATATATGAACTTTTTAAAATAATATCTTCATTTCGCCAGTCATAAATGGCAGTAAGTCTAGAAATATATTACAATCTAATTTAAGTAACTAATAATATTTAAAAATGCATGTGCCGTTAATATAATTTGTAATGTCATTAAAATATAGTAGTACCGAGAAATAACAGAAGATATGAAATCAAATATAATATTGAATTCTTTTGAACCTCCCCTAATTCAAGTTGCATTTGTCAGTATTTAAAATAAAATTGGCATAATCCATTAATAGTGATGGCGATTAACCTTGAGGAATAGCCTACAGTCCGTTCACGTTTTAAACCCGCTTTGAAACACTTTATAACGGTGCATCGTGAATTGAACAAGATCAATTCATAGATATCGGGAATGTCAAACAGTGGAAAATTTCACTATGTCTTTGAATTTGATTGTTCTTTATCGTCCGGCAAAGCATTATAAAATAATTGCCGCTTCGACGAGTGAGAATGATTTGAAGGAAGGTTAGTTTCTATGTTTCTCTGATGAACAAAACGATAAAGATAATTTTGTACATCTGTGAAGTTCCTTGACATTTATATATGAAGTCCTTTTCATTTTCATTTTCTGACAGGTTAAGTAGAAATTTTGTGTCGTCGTCTATCAAGAAACACTAACTACAAATTACAGACTTTCTTTTTTTGTCGATATTCTTAGTTGTTATGGAGTGTAGCAAAATATCTCTGCTTATATAACAGTATATATTAACTACAGCCAAGAAGATACGTGAAAACTCGGAGGAAATAATGAATAGCTGTAGATCTACCATTAATTGCGATCGACCTTTGAATCACAATAAAATAGACCTGCGTATCTCCACGGTCAGAACGAAGAGGGACACGCACGACAATAGGATTAGATAGATTAAGGGCAAAAACGTACAAAACTGTTGTACTGCCCTTGCATGTTCGAGTGCATTTCGCCCAAAAAACACAAACGCCCGAGAGGAACCTTAATCTCCTGATCAATCGAAAGTATATTCTTCACGTTGGAGCGTTGTTGCGGATATGGACTTCCGAAACGTGAACCCTCCTCAATGCATCAACTTCTTCTCGAGCAACCTGCTGGCGCCAGTTGATTCACGATTTTTGATCGCGTGGAAGTTGTTTAGTATCTTCATGTGGCTGCTTTAAGAGGTTCAAATAACCGTGCTGGTCCCCGGTCTTATCATGATGCTATGGGAGAAAGTTCTGTTCGACGGCATGATCACCAGTGTTGTTATCATCGAGGTATTCTTAATGGTCAAACGAATTCACGGGCGTAGCTAGTGGATCAGTTGATCGGTAAACTGAATGAGATCTTACGAGATCTTACGAGATCTATTAGGAACGTTGTGACGAAGACCTAAGGCCTATGGATGCTCCGCTCATGTTTTACTGTTAACCGCGTGGACTGTCCATTCTCGTTTGGTTCTGCATATCACTTCTGCTTGTTTTTGAAAGATACTCCTTCTTTTACGAGGATTTCAAGTTGCTGATGGCATTCTCAAAGCAGCCGTTCTCGGTCTTCCTGTTGGGCAATCTCTTCTTAATGATTGATAAAGTCTATATTTTTTTCAAAAAAATGTGGTGTAGACATTTATATAATACATTTCGTACTGCTGATAACATCGCAATATCGTTATATCACCACGAGGCGATATTTCGAAACATAAATATTCGAAACGAACTTGAAAAATCTAACCACGAAGTAGATCGATGGGTAGATAATACAGGGTGCGGCGAAAGGTATGCCCTCATTTTGGAGAGCAATCAATAAAATACTATTAAATGTAGAGGATTGGAAATTTTTTTATTACCTTTGGTACTTCAAACAGTTTTTTTACATTAACGTTTAAAAACGATATCTGCAAGATGG